AACTGAAAGACAACTGATTGAAGATCTTGCAGACGATTCCATTGAAGTTTTGAATCAATGAATGCTCTGATAAAATGATCAAGTGTTTTAAATGATTTGAAATGCCTGTTACGGCTCTCTGTTCTTTACTGTAGTAGCCAGAAATTGAATTTAGAACAAAAGAAATTACTTAGCTCTCTTTGAAAGTCTGTTTTCTGACTTGATGATGACTTGTTTTAAAAACTAGATATGGCTACTTTGAGCTATAGCTGAAATAGCGGGTTCTGAATACCGTTTGTGACAAGATTCAATTCTTTCATCATTACTATTCCCAGACAAAAAAAAGAGTATAAAAAAGACTTTGACATAAAATATGTTGATCTATTATTTTAGTTACGTCACTCGAATCGTGATATAAGTCCAACGACAGATGAAATCGATACAAATATGATCCATGACGATGTGAGCTGTGTTTATCGTGTAAATCGATCATTTTCATGAGTTCTGCATAGAAAAAAAACAATCACGAATGGGATAGACCAATAGAATTTGTTCTATCGCTGATTTCGAACTCGGTTGGTATTGGCAATGTCTGGTGATTTCCATACCTAGTCGCTCAAAATGGTGGAGGTTGGCGTCAAATGTTTGTTATCTTTTTGACTTGATTTAATTTTTAAGGCGCTTTCCTCGTTCCCTATTTCATTATTTCCTTCCTTATTGGAGCTCCTCTCTATTATATGGAACTCGCTCTGGGGCAATTTTCCAGTCGTGGTCCAGCAACCAGTTTTATTTTTGCAAACGGATGGCAGGGTAACATATTCAAAGTCTCTTCTTCTACGATAATTTTCTTTTCAGGCGTAGGTATTGCCATGCTTTACTACAATGTTGTCATCAGTTGGGCTTTGATGTATTTTGTCCTTTCGTTCCGCAAACGACTTATGTGGTCTGACTGTGGATATTGGTGGAATACGAATCGATGCTTTGTACCTGGCTCTCATGAAAGCACCTACATACATATGTTTAATGAAACAACACAAAATTGTACACGCACCGAATACGTGAATCTCTCTGATTACCGATGTACAAAAATGAATACGACTGAAAAAGTCACAGCGACGGAGGAATTTTTTTAGTAATTTGTCTCTGTTATTTGTATCCTCTAAACGTACCATGTCCCATTGGCCTTTTCTATTTCGATTGATCAAGAGTTTTCATGAGAAAATCGAGGACAGTCCCAGCAACAGAGAAACTGATCAAGTTTTCCTCTTTTGATTTGAAATGCACATCGCAATCAACATCATCTGAAATCTTTAAATCTAAACTTTTAAAGTCTTTGGTTGAGTTGATGAAAATTTATACTAACCGAACTTTCGACAGCTTTGTAACTTTGACATGAAAATGTTTCCATAAGATTAAGTCATCTAGCTCGGTAGTAAATTGATCAAAATTTTTGTAGTTACACAACATGTCTGACTGCGCAGCAATTAGAGTGCTTAAAACAAATTTTGATCAATTTACTACCGAGCTAGATGGCTCAATCTTATGAAAGCATTTTCATGTCAAAGTTACAGAGTTGTTGGAAGTTCGGTTAGTATAAATTTCCATCAACTTATCCGAAGACGGTAAAAGTTAAGATTTAAAGATTTCAGATGAAGCTGATTTCGATCTGCATCTCAAATCAAAAAAGTGTATTTTTACAATTTCTTTGGTTTCTCTCTGATGTCATGAGTGCTCTATTATTATTACTTAGATTCCATGCATTCGAAAGCACTTTCATATTTTAGTCGCTTTCTCTTGAATAAGAGTTCGAGTTTCTAAGATTTCGGCACTCCAGACGTTTATATGGCGGTATCATTACTAATTGCCTGGATTGTTGTCTGTTTATGCATTATTCGTGGTATTCAATCATCCGGCAAAGTACTTCATCGCTCGTTCTCACCATTCACTTTCATGTTATTCACTTAGGTCGCATATTTTACTGCTATTTTCCCGTATATGGTTCTTCTTGTGCTCATCATTTACAGTGCAACACTCGAAGGAGCAGCCGATGGAATAAAATTCCATATTATTCCAAAATGGGAACTCGTCGGCCATTTTAAGGTGCTTTTGTAAAACAATTTACTAATAGAAACGAGAATGATATTTAGCACAATATCGAAAAAAGCCCACTGTTTACATTATGTTGTTGGTTTTACAATATTCAGCATTTTGCCTTCATATTTCTCAGTTTTGGGACACAGTTTCAATATTGAACCACAAAAATAGTCGTGGATCTAAATATATCAATAACTTGGATTTTCCTTCTGTTACTTATTTTCATCCGCAGAGTAGTCATCATCTGCTCAATAGGAATTAAGCAGAAGAAAAAAAATTGTTTGACATGAGGATGGAAAAGTCCTACATCTAAGTTAAATCATTTAGATATGACAAGCAGCTGCCGCTCAAGTATGCTTCTCTCTCGGTATCGGTTTCGGTTCCCTTATGGCATATGCATCAGCAAATAAATTCAAGAATAATTTTTTTCAGTAAGTGTACATTTCTGTTCTCTCGATGCATTATTCTCATCTGATCGTTGATAGTCAAATGTGTATTGTGGTATCATGTGACTGTTTTTCGGGTGTTTTCGCTAGTTTTGCACTGTTTGCTACCGTTGGATTTCTGGTCAAACCATTGGATGAAGCAGTATCGAAATATGCCCAATCTTCGGGTCCTGGCTTAGCATTTATTACCTATCCTGAAGCGCTTTCAAAGATGCCAGCCAGTCCTTTCTTTTCTGTCATCTTCTTTTTGATGCTCCTTGCACTCGGGCTCGGCTCACAAGTGAATTTATAGTCTCACAATCATATTCGTACAATCATGTATCATTTTGTAGTTTGCCTTCACTGATGTGCCGGTAACTGCTATTATCGAACTGTTTCCATCGTTGCAAAGGCGTCGCACCTATGTTGTCATAGTTATTTGTATGATTTCTTATATCATCAGTCTGCCATTTACGTGTCCCGTGAGTTTGCTTTACTATATAGTTGGTATTGAACAATTTGAAATTTCTCTTAGGGTGGNGGCTATGTTCACACTAGACGAAGTGATTTAACTCAAATCAGAATTGCGTAAGTTGATTGGTTATTTCATATTTAAATCGTCTCGAAAAGATGATTTAAATATGAATTAACCAATCAACTTGCTCAATTCTGATTTAAGTTAAATCACTTCGTCTAGTGTGAACATAGCCTAAATCAAGGTGCAGAGTTCAAACTTGAGCTTAGTTCGGTCCCATGTCCTATAGGTTTGGCAACGCGCAATATAAATCAACGTTTTAAATGGTAGATTTCACAGTATGATTTTGATATTCAGACAGTCTAGGAGGATTGATTTGTATGATTCACTTTTTGAAGTACACATAACTCTCGGATTTAAATCCGAAGTTTCCGCATTTATTTATTCTGCTTATGTATTAAAAAGTGCTTTTGTATGAGTCGTAGTCATTTGTCTATAATCTCAAAAATTACCAGAGAGTTGTCAATAATGAGTTTGCATAATAAAGGGTGGTCCAAAAGTTTCGACTCCTCTCAGTAAATATATGATATTTACAAGAAACTTCTATGAAATTGTTCACCAAATTATGTCGTTTTGTAGAGAAAGATTAGAGCTATATTCTGAAAAAAACATAGCTCGAAATACATAAATCTATAACAATGCTATGGTCATTTTACTAATCTTGAGTGAAAATTATTACGTTACATTTTTGTGAAAAAGCAAAGGAAAATCTCGAATGTTCGAGTCATTAAAGTCATGCGAAATATTATTTTCTACATGTTTTTAATGGATATTTTTACATAATTCGATAGAGTTCGACTAGCTCTACAAGAGTATGAATATCAAGAAAATTTGGAATTTTGTTTTTAATATGAAACTCGGAAGAAACCATACAGATTAATATAAATCTTTCATATGTTGCATGAGAGTGTATGCTTAACTGTCGATAACTTGAGTTGTTCGTTTCTTAATTGATGTTTCGAGATGCAGTGTCATAAACTGAAGATGAAAATAACACTTCCGAGCTACATGAATAGATGGAACACTCAACCAACTGAAGCTATTGAAAACTAAACTTACTCTTGGGAATATTTTATACATAAAATTCTTTTTAGTTTTCCTAGTTTCCTTCAAGTTTCATATTGAAAATAAGATCAGAAATTTTTTAAACCTTCATATTATCGTAGAGATTGTCAAACTCAATCGAACTATGTACAAATATCTAGAAAAAAACATGTTGCTTAGGATGTTACAAGCATATTTTGTTTTTGAAAAAGTTGTAACGTAAAAATTTTCACTGAAGATTGGTAAAATGACCATAACGTTGTTATAGATTTATGTAGTTCGCACTATGTTTTTTCTCAGAATATAGTTCTAATCTTTCTCTATAAAATGACATAATTTGATCAATAACCTCATAGAAGTTTGTTGCATATATCATCGATTTACTGAGAGGGGTCGAAACTTTTGGACCACCCTTTACTATTCCCGTTTTCTTTTTTAGTCTTATTGATCGATATAACATTTCAGGGTATTGATGTGGGTGTGAATGTATGGAAGAAAAAAACAAAAACTTATCCACTAATCGTACACCTACATTCTAATTCTTGTTGACTTGCTAAATGGATACCATTGATAATCGAATAGACCGAGCAATAGCTAGTTATGCAAGAATTCGAATATAATCGCTCACTGTCATTTCATAGTGAGAAAGTACGTGATTAAATTCTGCATTTTATTAGATAATAAATAGGTTTTTATTTGATAAGAATAAAAACACGCATCTGTCACAGAATAATATCATGCTTTCTTTCTTTCTTTCCTGACAGATGACATGCTCATCTCAAGTACCTGCTGTATATAGACGAACAAGTGAAAAAAGCAAATCTCTGCATATTTTAACAGTCAAATGTCATCAAGTATCAAATTTATTTTATGATAATAGAATAAAAAATCGTAGACAGAATAGTATCTATCTCGAACAGTTTCTACTTTGCATTATTAGCTTTTTCTTGTCCTTTGATGACAAACATTCGCACGCCCATATCATTGAGCATTGCACCTTTGTCGTGGTAGCCAATTTTGCCTTCACCCAAAGCTGTAATCAAATTAGTATGCTGATCCAGATGCTCGACGATATGTGTGAGAGCCGCCTCGATGGTGGCTGGACTGAGCTCACTCTGCTTCATATTGGAGTTTTTGAACTGAGCTGCATTGAACGATGAGCTTGCACCGTTATTTATCACCATACGATAAAGTCCCTCGCTTAAGCCTTTTACTAGTTCTTTTTCAACTTCATTGAGAATCTGCGGAGTGAGAAGTTTCATCGTACATGCATCGGGTCGACGATAAAATTCACGAGGATCAAATTGCAATGAATTCGTGCGGATGTTAGACTCGATCGCATGCTGCATTACAAAACGCATCGTAATGTCTTTGTCTTCAAACTCCATGAGACGATTGGGATGTGATGATGAAGGACAAGAAGTTATAGAGGACGACGACTTGCCATTGTTTGACAGAAGATCGAGAGCACTTGGAGTCGCAACAGCAGAAGGTTTATCAGAACAGTCACTCATGTTGCAGTACTGAGATCGTTTGGCTTTTTTCTAAGCTAAAACAATTATCTGGATGTCGACGTGTAGGAGAAACAGAATTGAATGACAAGCTGTTTTTCTCTTCTATGGATACATTAATATCGAGCAGGCTTCGTATTATCTTATCTCGTCAACGAAGTCATAAGCAAATATCGCAGATTATATTACTAGGCCACGTGTTGTATACGCACATACACAAGCTGCATTGAAATATAGATGATGATGGAAGAATATTTCAAGTACTAACGCATCTGAGGAACAGATAGATAATGAAACTCATTTGAATGACGTCTGAAACTTAGTTCCAAACTAAGATAATAAAACTGATGTATTTGAGAATCATGCAAAAAAATAACTGAGCGTAACACAAAAACAAATGGTGAATTTTTATGAAATAAAAATGATTCAACGTTTATCGATTTTTGAATCACTGTAGGTTGGTTTCTATATAATTTTCATTGCGAGAGAAATGTGAACACTATTCAATGTGAAACATTGAGACAGATAGAAGTAATGTCTCATTGTATGAAAAAGAGTCGAAAATGAACTTAAGATGAGTTATCAACAAATACCCAATCATGTCGAACGTATTCAGTTTCAACTAAGGTATGGATGTGTGTACTTCAAGAGTTGAACAGAAAACCCATACCCATAACCATTCTAGGTCTTCCCCCCCTCCCCTCCTTCCCCCAATACATGACAATACAAATTCTTAAATTCTAGGGTTTTTCCTCCATTACAAGACAATACATCGTAATACATGAGAACGTATGAAACTATAGATTCTGAAATTCTAATTTCATTACTCACTACAAAGTGTCAATTGTACCACAGCGCCTCGGCATCATAAATAGTTGTTGGTAGAGACGCATACATTGTAGAATCTGATCAGGCGAGTTTTTATTTAAGAGTATTTCTGTGAGTAGGAAAGAAAGTTTGATGTATTAGGATTCCGTCCTGTAGGGTAAGATCAAGATTTTAATGGAGTACAAATTTGCTTCAATGAATATTCTGGATAAGGCAGATTCTCAAATCCTAAGCTTTGGAGAGTCATATTCTTTCCAGAATACAATTTGCGTTCGTATTTGCGCAGCCCTTGTAGGGTATGAGTGTAGCTGTAGATCTTCGCATCTGCCACATCTACACTCTTGAACACAACCAGACTTACCCAAACCCACCTATTCCAAGTAGTGTTTCCTTGCGCATAGAAAATTGAAAAGAAATGAATATATAGAAATAATCCACTGATCCCTATCGTTAAGATTTTTGGTAGAAGTCTTAAGCTTTACCTCAAAAATATACAAAACAATCGAATATAATAAAAGAGCTTTGGCTATTAGGGAAAAGTATTTCAAAGGTGGGCATATAATAAGCTAGAAAAATTTGGAATGTTTTGGGAACGATTATAACGATATGGGAGACTTCAAGAAGGCGATTGACTATTTTCATCAAACTCTTAGAACCTAACGAAGAGTTTTCTACGCAGTTGAAATACATTCTAAAATTATGGACACACTGTAAAGTATTGATGCAGTCTTTAGTAGAAAGACAATGTGATCGTGCACTTTGGTATTTTAAGGATGAACTTCGAATCTACGAAGATGGTAGAGTAAGCAGATACAACGCTGAAACTTTCCTAGGAAAAATTGAAAATTTCTCAAGATTTGGAGTGGGGTGACTCTCCCGACCCGTCTCCTAGGGACACATTTTAATAAAAACAAAATTGAACCAGAAAAATCAATATTTTTAGAATGAAGAACATTTATTGAAAAATCATTTGACAGGAAAAAGAAATACGATTCTTCATCACCACAAACTAAACCATCTTTCATGTATCAGTTATTGCTGCTACTGAACTAAAGTAAATAAAAAAAAAGAATTAATTTTTTTAACAGCGTCTCTTCTTTCGACCGGTGAGAACCATAGCTCTCTAGCTCTAGCCGGTCTTGAGCTATTGTAAAAAAATCCACGGCCATTCTTTTTTTGGACAAGCATTAGTTCGTCTAATCATTTTCTATACGGATCCATGTTATCTATTGGTAGCATAGAAAAGACCTATCCTTCTTTCACAAAATAATATTTCTATATTCATGTTAGTTAACGGAACAAACGGGATTTTGCGAAAGAGTTCGAAAAAATTCGGGACAGGACACAAAAAAAGTTTCTCCCGCACATCTCTACTTAAATCTTTTGTGCTTTTCAAAAGCGAATAGGAAAATTATTCAAAATTTCATGTAATTGCAGTTTTTATCAAAATAAAGAGATCTTGTTGTGAAGTTTTATTTTCGACACAAGAAAAATTCATGTTTTTCTTGATAAAAGAAGCAATTAATTGACATTTAAAAATATTTTGATGTGAATTTTATTTCTTGTACTGTGTAAATTTTTCGATCATTTTGTTCTCTCTGAGGTAAGTATTATTCTCAGTGGAGATTTTCCATATGTAACAATCAATGATGGTCATACTACCAATGCAGTCAGACACGAAAAACCTAGAAATTTTCTAAATTATTATTATGCTCATTAAATGTTTTTTGAGAAACAATATTAAATTCAATTTTGTTAGAAATTTTGAAAATTTCAATTGAAATTTCTGGAATAAGTTTTTAGAAAGACAAGCTAATGAATTTCTATTTATTAATATTATTGTTCTTTTTCTTTCCTCATACATATGATGAAATGTTTATGTGCACGTATATGCACGTGAAGAAGAGATGAAAATAGAACAGAAGTTAATTATTATGTGACCAAAAACTGTATAATACTTGTCTAAAAGAAGCAGCTACCTATTGCGATACAAGCTAAGAGAGTTTGGAACATTTTCATAAGTAAATGAACATAAAAAATGCCAAACAAATATACATGTGTGTGAATTCAATTTGAAAGTAAATCATATTATCTTAGTTTTATGTTTATAAATTTTGCTTTGAAATCTTTTATTTAGTTGAAAATAACAACTAAAGATATTATGAAACGTCTTCGACTACTTTCATAATTTGTTCTGATGAGTTTATGTTAATAATAGATTCATTCATATAAAATTTAGTTCATTTACATTGAAAAATTTAGTAAAATAATGAGTTCATACAACTAGCGACCTTCATTAATTACTTTTCTAAGTTTTTCATTTTGTTCATCAACCAAGAGCCATGTCAATCATGATAGCATATTGAGATAGATTAATGTCAGTTATTATGCCATTGTGAAATGTATATTTTCTCTGATAATATAACCGTGACTGTAAACTAACTACATTGCGAAAATAACGAAATTGTTATTGTTAAAAGTGATGATTATTTATCAATTAAAAAAAGAAATCTTTTAGTTCTAGTTCCAACAGTCATTTCAATTATCATAAAGTAAAGATATAAAACAAATTATGACTATGTTTAACATAATTCTTATTGATTTTGATTTTTAATCGTGTTGAACAGAAAAAAAGTGGTTGTTTTCTGATTATCAATAAATGAATTGAATTCAAAAAGAGATGTAAAATACTTTTTTGAACATTAAATGAGATTTTGAATATCTGATTCAAAAGAAATATTTCTTGTGAAACCCATGCTCCCATTCAGACAAATATTTTTGTATTAATACTTTTTATGCTGAAAACAAGCACATCATCATCATCATCAATATAACAAGATTCTTTTTCTTTCTTTCTCTATTAACTGTGCACATAATATTCGGGCAAGCCTATCTGTACATATGTTCATGAATCAGAACGAAAAAATAGATCATTTAGAGAACGATAGGCCCTTGCTATTTTGACTAGGAAATCTACTTTTTAAAAATTTTTGCTAGAAACTTGACTATATTGCTCCGAGAAAATTTATGCATCTTGCTCAGTTTTTCAAGGTCTTTTCGATGATGTAATTTTTATCATCTCTGCACAAGGCGGATATTTGAATTTTTGTGAGCGTTTATCCTTTTCCCTGGTGAATTGGACTAGATTAGAGATCAGCTTTTTGATCTACGTGATATGAGTAAGTAGAAGTGGCAGGCTAGTTGGCACACACAAAGGATATGCCTCATAGTGTCGGCATATGGATGTGACTGTGTGTGTTGGTCAGTATTTTATTCAACCGCCCTTCAACAGTATTTGATAAATATTGCAATATTTTTTAAATGTTCAAGGAAATTTCTTGGAATGTTTAAAAGCACTAAATATGATGACCGCATACAAGTTGTGGTTATTTACACTTCAGAATGGTAATTCCCACGCTGCGTCCAAGTCAATACCTTGCTGTTGGTAGAAACGTTCTCGTGAAGCAACTTCAAAAGGATCGACCGGCACCAGAAAACTTTCGTTTCGTCGAAACTGCTCTACGTTCACACCGAGGGTTGTAAATTCAGTAGTATTACGTAGAAAATTGAACCATTGTGCTGCATCCTCACGTATTATTGGCGCCTACCAAGGTCCCATCGATCCTACATGATCTGGCAGATGTAGCCACAAAGGGCCAGCCTTTGTATCATGGCATGAATTGTTTTTGATCGCTCCTAACCGAAGTCGTAGAAACATATCGTTTAAGTTACATGCTAATTTTAGACGATGCATAGATCCAATAGAATAGGCTGCCAGTAGTTTATCAAAGGCGAGAAACCAGAGAAATGTTCTCGATCCTGTTATTCTTGATAGATCATTGACATGTTGAATAAGGAAAGCAAGATATCCTTCTTTGATCGATGGATCAGTCAAATAATTAAGTATTGCCTGTTAAGTGATATACCGATGACATAGAACATTGCGACTGGATGAATTAGCAACAAATGATGCAAAATCTTGTAGAATATTTAATAGCTTGTAAATCTACTGTACCGGCAAAGACATTGCTGAAACGACATTTTCCAGATCCACCAGGAAAATATGGTAGTAATGCGTCGAGCTGGTCCTTCATCAAAATATCGTTTGCCGCAACTGCTTCATTGTCGAATATTGAAACATCAGAAGATGCAATGGTCACGTCTTGAATAACAAGATTCTGGATGTAGATGGAAATCACAAATATGTTGCATAATATCTACTAACGATTGTGCATCCCTATGTCATGTAGATAGTTGCACCATAAGGCTTTTCGGTGATTATCCAGTGGTAACGAATGCATGGGTAACAGCTGACGATATGAAGAACAATAGAGAATAAATTCAAAATTCGCTTTAAATATTCTTGTCAATCCTTTTGTCAACCAAAAATGAATATTCGTTTGTTTCATATGTCAATACCATTGGTAGCTTGAAAAAGGTGAAGAACAGAAGGACAATATTCAAAAAACAAAACGGTTTTGTTTGATCCGTCAAATGTGCGCTCGTCCAAGCCTTTAAGATAGTCGTGGAATCAAGTTATGGGAAATTCTCTCGGAATTGCAGTATTAAATAAAAGAAAAGAAAAATAAACGTTGCATTCAAAATCAGATGTAACGTGATAGACAAGTAACCTAGTCACAATCCGAAAAAAGTAAACTACAGTGACTTTTTACGATCAGAAACTATTGATACGTGATTAAAAGATATTTAATCAGACGAAACTGGTGCGTGGAATCTTTACACAGACGTTAAAAAGGGGATATTCGATGATGATTGAATATCTCTAGAATCAAAGCAAATTTGTTTTCAAGATTTAAGTGCCTTATTGTTTGATCAACGAGAAATGCAACCTACTTATTACCTACGCTAAACTGAAAATTCAGTTGAAAAAAATTGCATTCTACATTGAATAGTAGTATTTTCAATGGGGATTTCACCTGAAATACTGGCTCTGAGACTCTATTCCAAAGATGATTCCTGATGATCTTTGCTCCTAGAGTCTAGTTGAGTTTCTTATTAGTTAGTGGGAGTCGAAGCAAAGTTTGATCCCGCATCGGATGGAATAAGTTTATTGTGGGAACTGCGACTGCTTCTGTGGAAATTTGTGTACGTTAAGATAGAATCAACATCCACATCGGCACTCTCGTATGCAAAATCCGCGGGCATTATCGTATTCTCTAATGTTGTAGACTACTAATCATTTGCTGTTGAAAGACATTTTTTCAAATGTAAAATGTGAAACTGTAAAAGTTATGATTCATCTTTATTCCTCTATCATCAGAGTCCAAACAATGATTAAAATCTTTTTATATTTAATATGCACAGAAACATACATAATCAAAACAAACAGAATTTCTTTTTTTTAAATAATTATAATACAAACAAAACAAAAAAATTTATCATTACTGATGACCTTGAACACCGATCATAAATAAGAAAGAAAAATCACAGACCTATGAAAATTTATTTTGTTATAAATCAAGCAAGCAGAATATTAAGAATGAGAAAGTTTTACGCATAATTATTAAATTAGTATGAACAAAAAACTAAATATTAAATTATTGTTTTATTTCTTTTTTTTTTTATTTGTTAGATAATAAAACAAACCTTTATATGTTATTTTTAGTTATTAAAAGAAAGTAAAAGAAGTTTAAGATCGATTAAGACCAGGTGGCTGAATTGTGTAAGGTTGGTACCGGGCAGAGACAGAAGAACCTGTTGCTGCTGGTGTGATTTTTCCTGAATGATTGTTTGTTGTTGATCTAGTAGCTACACCTGCACGATAAAGAAGAGAAACAAAAAGCAAAAGAAAGCAGTGAGATATTATAAAAATAATTATAAACATCGGTTTAGAGAAATCATTTTATGGTTGTCAGTCAGTTCTATAGCATTTACAAACAGAAAAGAAATCATATAAATAAAAAAAAACCTTGATTTTCAAAAAGAAACAAGAGGAATTAAGCGTTTTATTGGTTCATGCCTTTTTTGTCTTCATCATCGCTGAATCAGTGATATTAACGAGCCTAGAAGAAGAGAGAATGGTTTCTGTTCTATATCTAAACTATCTATCTATCACTAGAAGCATGTCACCTGCTGTTATTTCCAATTAATTTATGATTAAATACAATAATTTGGTTATGTGATTTCGTTAGAAAGTGATTATACAAAAAAAAGCAAGTTTTTGTAGGTTTCTTTATTTTTAAATAGTAGTGAGGTAGATATGAATAGATATTATGGATTAACATAGAGTTAAGGGATAGATCAATACTTTTGCTTTTCTGGTGCCTATGACAACAATAACAGCAAGTGCATGATGCTGTTCAACAAAAGTTATAGTGAACTTTATTTGATACCTGTTGATGTTGTCGTCGTAAGAAAAGGAAATGCTAAAAAAAAAAAAAAAACAGAAATCGAAATTATTTAAATAAAAACAAAACAAAAGAATAGAATAAATTATTTACCAGTTTGACTTGGATATTCAAATAAATGTGTACCACTAGTTAACATACCTCCGATTTGATCTAGCGTTTGTAACGGTGTAAATAATTGAACAAAATTTGATTCACCATTTTGTAGAAGTGAACTTTGTGGAACAGTACTTAATGTTGGTTGTGTGTCAGTTGTTGTAAAAAAAGTTGGTGTTGTATTTGGTTGCATTTGTGTCGTAAGAAAATTTTGTTGTATACGTGGTGTTAAGATTAATGGAGCACCAATTGGTATTTGATGATTTTGAAATGGAAATTTTTTTGAAAATAAATTTGGTTCACGATATGTTCCATTAATAATAGCTAATTCTGTTAATTGTTTCTTTTTTAAATAATCTTCACCTTCAGCCTTATATAAAGAAAACAAATTTTTACAATCAAAAAAACAAAATTCATTTAATATATTTACAGTTGGTTTTAATAATTTATTTATTTCTTCTTTAGCTCGTTCTAATTTAACTAATGCACGATTTTCATAATCTTCACATTGAATTAATACATGAAGTTCTTCATTTAAATGTTCCCAATTTGGTTTACCACGATTTTGATCTTCCTATTTCGAAGAATATTTTATTAAAATTTAAAAAAAAAATCAATATTTTACTTTTTGTTTATCTCTCATTGATCCTCGACCACGAACCATTATTTTACAACCTGTATCAGCTTCAAGTTGTTTTGCTGTCATTCCTCTTGGACCCAAAATACGACCAACAAAATTAAACTGAAATAAACATATGATTTATATAATTGTATTACAATCTGTTATAAACCAACAAAAAACAATAATTAAAATAATGAAACAATATAAATATAGCGAATAATCATGCATATTAAATACAAAAAAACAAGCTATCGCATGTATTCATAATAATCAGTAAGAAACTAGAAAAATAATTTTGTTATTATTATGATGAATATTCCAAATTGAAAATCGAATTAGTTTATTGACTGGTGATTTGGTTTTAATGTGCAAAAGCGTATAAAAAAGTAAAGAAAGAAAATGGATGTGATCATAAATATGTGCGATTTTGTTTTTTTGTTTATTTCAATTGACAGAGCAAAGAACTGTTTGGACTCAAATTGTTAGAGATAGATTACCGTATATATTCATTCATTTATTTATTTATTTATTTATCGACGTACTAATGAATCTAGAGTACAAAAATGTTCAGACTCTAACGTTTCGAAATAGTTAAAATGAATGTTATCTTAATAATCGAAAAAATACATTTGAACACTTATTAGTATAGAACATTGAACAAGAATAATATCATGCATTTATTAATAAAGAGCAATAATTATATTATAATCATTATACTTTTTGAAATATTATTTAATCTTAACTTACTTCAGGATATTCTTGTACTGGAATGAAAATTTTTTCTTGAAATATTTTTTTTTCTCCATTAGGTTCAGGTAAAATGATTTTTGGATTAGCATTTGAATTAAATAAATTGAATCGAATTTTGTTTATTTCTAAAATATTTTTTAAAGTGAAAAAAAAAATAAAATATTAAAAAAAATTCAATAATTAAATGATAATTTAATATTTACCTTGATCAAGTAAACGTTCAATATGTATAAACATATTTGGTACAGCAGCAAGTTGTCTTTTATCTTTAAGTAATTGTGATAAGTATTCTAATTTATCCGTTGCATTGAAATCAGTTTCAGTCGTTGGAGATAATCTAAAAATACACAATCGATTAATTTTTTTTGTTTCTTTTTAAAATATTTTCTTAAATTTACTTACGATGTAACTGAGGATAAATCCAATGAAGTAGATGTTTGATCTGTTTCACCATTATGATGAATATTTAAAAATTGTCCAGATGTAGACGACATTAATATAGTAGATTACTTTTCGTTTTTATTTATATTGGTACATGTGTGTGTGTGTGGGTAAGTGTAGCAAACTATTGTTCGTCACACGGATGATTGAATGAAAATGAATCAGGTAAAGAAAGTAATATAAGTAGCGAAGAAAAAAAAACCCGTCAAATACGTGCTTGAAACAGAACAAACGAAATCGTTTCGTCGATTGTTATTGGTTTTGTTTATAGTGCATGAAATAAATACGATAAGTTAACAAAATGTTGAGAAAAGGAATAAAATAATGACTGAGCAATAATCACAGATTGATATACTGAATTATATTATGCTGATATTTAATCTACCGTCGCAATATGCAACGAATTTTTTTTTTTTTCGTCTTTTTTTCTTTTAGTTTTCAGTCACACCTTGTCCTTCTTTTGTCAAATATACATATGTACAGCCGTCAAGACAACGACGGTGACGCCTACGATCATGGTGATTTTTTTTTCGTTTCTCCGCAAAAAAGACACATTTATATTCGATGTATTTCTGCATCCGCGAGTGAAAAAAAGAAAAAAAAAAAAAAAAAAGGTTCGCACCTTTACCATTATGGCAATTAAATTCATTTTTTTTTTCTTTTCTCTATTTCAATAAATTTTTCATCGTATTAAAATTTCTTAAACATGGAATCTTTTTTTGTGTTGTTTCTTTGATTTTATCAAAAGAAATTCAAATTTTAAATATATTGCAAACAAAACATTGTTTGTATTCAATTTCTTTTTTGTATGAATGAAAATGAAATAAATGAAAACATTTACTTGTAGACACTTCAATTTCATAACATGAGTTTAAAAAGTATTTATATTAACAAAGTGAACAAGTAGGTAGTCACGACAAAAAAAAAAGAAATTTAATACTAGGTTATTGTCTATCATGTTTATGATGAACACTTTCAATATCAAACAATAAAATCGAAATTTGTTTTTTAATATTAAAACAAAACAAAAAAAGGAAAATTTTGTTATTGACACATATTTTACTATATATATGCTAAATTATGATTAACTGTAAGATTTCATTATTCCTTTTTAGAAATGAGTAAAAACAAATCTTCCGATAAACAACTAAACGATAATGACGATGGACTTAAGTTAAATCAATTGAAGTTACCAATGTATGTATCACATTTAAAAAACGGTAATACACTATGTACAAATGACAATTTATTAATTCTTCAAAATGGTTCAACAACATTAGAAATTCGTACACCACCAAAATTTGAACCAACTCACATTCCATGGCACGAAGGATTACTTCGAGATATTGTTTGGAGTTCAGAACTTGGTTTATTCATTTTTTTAACACAAAAAGCTTTATTTACGTTTAATCCAAAATTAATAGCTTGTTCGCCTACAACAACAGTTAATATTGAATTGCAATTCAAACTAACATCATATAGTACAATACAACCATACGATAATAATAGTTCATTTTGGCGATGTGCATGTGTTGGTAAAACATTATACATTACCTATTCGGGTAAAAGCATTTGAAACATTTTGCAAAGTTTAAAATAACAACATAAGAGAGATCGATTAGAAAACTTTTTTTTAGACCATTGAAGCATGGAGTGTGAGGCCTGTAATCGTGAACGATTATTTATTCTTCTTGTATTTTCGTATAAGAACAATGGTCTTAATGCTATAAAGTGTCATACTTTATCTAACATGATGATTGTACTACTATTGAATTAATAGAATTTATATAAATTTAATAGGTATTCATAGTAGAATACAAAATGAACTTGTTAGATTTCGGAAACGAAACAGAAGATCGAGATTAGAAAAAAATAGACTTTTCAAAATCCTATCTCAGATTTTCAAACTATTTCTCCGAAAGAAAAAATGAACTTGTTTATAGAACTGTAAGCTATCATAGATCTATTGTCAACAATAGCTTCATGATTCCTCTCTACGGCGATATTATCCATATATCGTCAAATATTTCAAATCTAATAGTATCGATCGAAAAAATAAAATTCAATTAATTATTTAAACTTTTATTTTTCATTGATTAGGTTGTGGAACAATTATTGATGAATATATCTTTGAAAAATCTTCATGTAAATTTATTAATCGTTGGATGCCACCACAAACATGTTCTACACATGAAGGTATATGGTGTATACGTTCTCATTCAAATACAAATCAATTAGGTATGACTATATTGAATCTAAGAAATAATCAATGGCGTTTTGAAACTCGTAATTCAAATGATTTTTCTCGATTATGTGAACTAGCATTACCAGTAACACATGGTGATTGTGAATTATCATCCATATCAAATAGTGAATGGCTTATTACTAATTCATGTGGAATACGTTTAATTCAAATAAGTAATTTTAAATTAAAAATAGCTGTTGAATATGAACGTGAATTAAAAAATTCTATTACAATTAATAATGATTATTTTATTATTCGAACAAAATATACGATGGAAATTCATGAAATGAAGAAAAAAGAGAATTAGATATGGTGACCTTTTTTTGTTTTTCTTTCACTTCATTTTCTTGCCATAATTTTGTATAGTATATAAAATAAAAGACAGAATGAAGTTTTAAATGGATCTATTTTATTCCTCCCTAATTTTTAAGTTCAAAAAAAAAAAAAAATTAGCCATTGCAATTCACACATTTAATGTTAGTTAATCGAACTTCAATTCGTTTGGTCAAAGTAATAAAGTAACAGATCATCAATTTTACTGGAATGTTGGATAAACCGTGCACCTTAATTCAGCTAGGAAAGACTCAACCTCTTTGATGAGATTTTTGAAAGATTTCATTTTTTTTTCCTTTGTAATTTTCGTATGCATTAGATAACTTTGTATTGGTGTACATTGGGTACAAAGATATAGTTCTCATCTCCGATTGGATAAGACAATAGAAGTTCCACTAGTTATTATTCCGATTATGATAACCACATAAAGAGTTCTGTATAAATCTACAATGTAGACTATTCGAACACGAATTGAACTTATATATGCTAATACAAACAAAAAGTAACAATGAGAAGAATTCGATTCATTCATATTTTATTTCCTAGTAAAAGTTTTATATTCTAAATTTTATTAGTTGTTTAACGCTAATATGCTATGTGATGCACTGAAGTCTAGACTTTCTCACTATATATTGATTATAAATTACAAAGTGAATTTTAGACAGTCTTAAGAAAGCAAAACAAGAATGGATGCAAAATTAAGTTCACTACAGAGTCGTATGAAATATATGTATATGTTGTTTGAATTAGTTCTTCAAATCTTATTTATAAGAAAACAATTACTACTCCTAATTAGTAGGACTGATAATACTGCTCAGATTAATAATGTAAATGATAATTTTTGTTTTGAGCATTAATAAAAACTTTTACTGAATATTTTTTTTATGGAAGAAAATCAAAACATAGATTGTTTTTTCTATTGAAAGAATTTAAAATGAATTAAAGTTCTACAATTTAGAAATGCCCTTCGCAGCATAATAACTTTTCTTTTTTTGAAGAATATTGCATAACTCTATGAATTTAAATGGAATTTTAGTGTCAACAAATGCTACATTCTAAGACTTGATGAATCTCATTGATTAGTATTCCAGTTTTTTGTATTCAGTGATCAGTGCATCCTATACACATTTCTCAGATGACTTTGACCAATTCGAGGAATTCTACACAACAGTAAAATTCAACATATATATATATTTTAGAATATAATCGCAATAAGTTTTTACTCCCCATAAATATCTCTATTACAATCAACATGATCATATCGAATAATCAACAAAATTTTATCAATTCATATATTATGTACTTTTCTTTACAATAAATTTCTCCGATAGTCAATATGTATATTACAAAAGACAAATTAATATAAGACTAGGAACAAAAAAATTGTTCTAAACAAATGGTGGTAACATTGAACCGGTCTGCTGTTGTTGATGATGTATTATTGAATTTTCTGAATTAAAATAATAATTATCATATGATGTTGGAGGAATTGATGTATGATAATTTGTTTTAAGATTATTTCCATTATTAGTATAATAATTTGATTGTTTTATAGAATAATTTGTCATTTCATATAAATCATTTGTTTGAGATGAAGTATAATTAAGTTGATTTTGAAATGATGATGGTGTAGGAAATGTAACGGACATATGTGGTACTCCTTGTGATGGTTGATAATAATTCTGATGATGATGATATGAACGAAGAGTCAAATCATCTTTTTCTGTTGTTGAACTAGCTAATGGTGAACTATTTAGATTCATATTACATCCATTTATATATGATGTACGATTTTTGCCATCTTTCTTATCTTTCATTCGACGATTTTGAAACCAGATCTAAAAAAAAAAAAAAAAATTTTGAAAATTAAAACTATTTTTTTTTTATGTTTATTAAAATTCTTTACCTTGATCTATGAATCACAAAATTGAATAGAAAATAAATAAAACAAAACATAAGAAAAACAATAAATAAATTCTCTTACCTGTCGTTCAGTTAAACAAAGTGTTTGTGCAAGTTCAATACGTCGTGGACGATTTAAATATTTACTATAAAGAAATTCTTTTTCAAGTTCAACTAATTGTGAACTTGTATAAGCTGTTCGAGCTCGTTTTGATAATGTTGAATTATTTTTATCTATAAAAAATAAAACAAAACAAAAATTCCATCATACTTCTATCAATACAAACAACAAGCCGATGATAAGCTTCAATGTTTTATATTCTTAAAGAAGACGACAGGATGTTATTCGATGAATAATGATATACTCATTTATCATTGTCATGAGAATTCATACATACGTCTGTCAGTAGACATAAAGATGAAAAACATGCATCAGTAGAAACATACGGTTACCAATATTAGAAGAATAAATTAAGTTACTTTTTTGTTTTCTTTTGTTTTCTAAATATGTGTCGACTGATGCACATAGACACACCTTTATTTTTCTTAGGTTCATCAATTATTCTCACCTATAATATTCTAAACAACATTAATTTAAAAAAAAATACAATCATTGACCCTTGATGTTCTTTTTTTTGTGTTATTTAACACTTGTCATTCGCAACTTGACACTTAATTTCAGAATTGATTGTTCATTTTTATTATTTAACTTGAAAAATTTGTTTAGAAAAAATTCAATAGATTATTGAATTATTTTTTTGTACTTAAATCGCATAGATTCTATTGAGTTTACTTATTTCTAGAACAATAATTCTTATCCGATATTTTGCATCACTTGAACAGTAGTCATTCGACTAAACTGAAACCTTGTGATCTATCATAAGTTCCTATGCTATCGAATCGATATCAAAAATGAATCGAGAAAAAACTATCAACAGTTTTCTATGGTTTTTTTTTTCTAAAAATTTCGTTATATATTTTCTCGTCAAACTGAGGAAGTTACACACTAAAGGTGGCAGTCAGGTGCATGTGACATAATATTCCTCTGGTTTTGGAATTTTTCTATGTAGCGCCTTTCTCCTTTTGAAATTCGATTACGTAGCAAGTCTCCCTACGCCTTTCTGATGACAATGGGTCCTTGAAATTTTTCTGTATAGTGAAAATGTATTCTCAAGGATATCCCAGCATTTTTATCAATGATTCTCGAAAAAAAAACTAACGCTCAACCCTTCTTCCCCCAAAATCCGATAAATTTTAGTAAAAATCTTTCAATTTGCCTTCTAAGTCATCGGATCACTCTTGGTGTATTATATAAATCCCTATAGGCTGCTTTTCAATCTTGAATGAATCGATAGAGATTCTACATTAATGTTCAATTTGATATATTTTTTTAAACTAATAAAAAATAAATCATACCGGAAGTAGATAATGTTGAAGAATTTGAATTTATATTATGATTTTTTGAATTTTGTTTATTTTTATTATTTCCATGTTTTTTTTCACTCATCCATGGATATATTTCTTTATGCTTAGATGTTATTGTTGAATTGAATTCATTTGATGATGATGCTGATGATGATGATGTAGAATTTTTTTCTGTTAATGATACATTTTGTGATGTATCTATTGAAGTAGTTTGATTTGCATTATTATTAATAATTAAATTAACATTTGTATAAGAATTTGTTGCCATATCCATATAATAATCAACTTGTTGTTGATGTGTTGCTTCCCATGGTATCGAATAATGAAGTTCAGTTTTAACCATAATACTTTTTTTTATTTGTGTTATGGAATGTGATGTGAAAAATTATTAATAAATCGAAGAAGAAGAAGAAATGAATTAGGTTTTTTCTTCTTTATACTAAAATAGAAAAATATATAATATTATGGATGAGTTATTTCTCGTTTTTTTTTTCCTTTTCTTTTTCTTTTTCTTTTTCTTCTTCTTCTTCTTTTCTCTCCTTTTCTCATTCGAGAAAAAAAGAATATTGATAATAACCAATAAAATAATAGATAAAAAGAAAAGTGTCATGTCATTGAAATGTGTTAACAAATCAAGCATCAAACAAATTTTTATACACAACCCTGAAGCTGTCTCGAAAAAAAAAAAAGAAACTAACTTTTCTTTTTTTTTTTGCTTCTTTCTTCTTCAATAGTGATTGACGATGAGGGTGTTTCTAACTTGCCAATTTTGATTTATGGCATTCGAATGCACATATACTTTTTTTTCTATCTACCTGTGTATAGATATAATTACCTTATTTCGTTTTTTTTGACCAACCATAGGCTACGCATGATCAAAATGCATTTATTATCGTTGACAGAAGTTGTTATTACCCTACTGTGCGCATATACGAAAAAAAAAAAAGAAGAAAGATGGAAAAAATACATGTCGGTGTATTCTCTCATATCATCGACACCTTCTTAATTAGCTAGTGTCGTCAACAAAAAATATTTTTTCTTCTGAATAGTTTCGAAGTTATGCTTAAGAAACTTTGACAATATCGAATTATTAATACTGTACCTAATACGTTTTATTTTCTAATGCGTATATGACGGGTTGCATTACAACTGATGTATATTTTTAATAAATCTAAGAATTTGACTTATTATAATTCTTTAAAAGATGATTTTAAAAGTAAAAAAGATTTAGTATTAAGAAACAGGAGGTTTAGCAGATTAGTGAATTTATAAGGAGACGTTGGGAACAATCGGCTTCCTTCTAAAAAATTCATATTTGGTTATGTTATTACATTTATGTCTGTTGCTGAAATAATTAAATTATGAACAAGTTTTTTATGCAATAAAAATTACTATAATATTCTGTTTGCATTTTGTCGTGAGATAATACTAGAGAACAAAAAAAAACAATCGACAAAATATAATTAATCTTAATTTTTCTATAAAATCAATGTGTAAAATTGTAATGAATTAAGTTTATTGAAGAATGATAAATAAAACTACGAAGCAAACGGAAGTGATGCGAGATTTTTGTAGACATTGGATAAGAAAGAACAAGGTGGTACACATTATTCATTTGTCAAAAGAAGATGAATGATACTAGGCTAGATAGAGATAAAACTATTTGTTTATTCAGATTCTTTTTTCTTTTGTCGGATTGTATCGGATGTCCGGATGATATCATTTGCAGTCAACTATAAATGCTAAAGAATTATATTCGATAATAAGAAGTATCTCTCATCTAATAGTTTTATATTTTATTCGATGAAACTTAGATTAATATTAGTCATAAAAAATAAAACTTACAAAAATTTGGATATTACAAACGAAAAATTCTTTATCTTATATTATTGAATTAGAGAAGGATTGTTTTTTTTTAAAGATATATTCATCGATCTCATCATCAAGTAGAGAACGATTGAGATTTAAGAGTACCTCACTTCACCTTTCGTGATCCACAATTTTTATTTGCTTTTTATGGTTATTGCATGTTGAATATCTAAAAATTGTTTTTAAACATTGAAAACTGTACATTGCTTTATGTTTTTCTCAAATTATTTTTTCATTAAGAAAACTACAGAAACATCCACGTTTCGCCGGCTTTTTTTTTCCACACATATTATATACTGTTTGATATGGATATACAGTGTTTAATGCCTGTAAAAAGATTTTCAGCTCAAGCAAATTTAATATCTTGAAGAAATGAAAACCATTGTAATCCCAATATCTTACAGAAGATAGTGTCCGAGATGACTACAGCTTTTTCTCTACTTATTAAGATCTATTTGCTTTGAAATTTTAAAACTATTCTCATAAGCCATTCTCCAGAAAGCTGGGGGGATGCATCCTTAAATGAAAAATGTACAATGATTTGATCTCTCAGGAATTAATATTTAAGATGTTTCTTTGATTTTCTTTCTTTCTTTTTTTTAACAAGATTGATTGAATAGGTATATCGCAATATTTGTTCATTGAATATTATTATTATTATTCATCTCAATAAAAGCGGCATAAGATCCGCCTTTGCTCAATGATGCATACAATGTTGTGAAGTCATTTTCTTTTAGCGAATAAATAATAACACCTAGAAAAAGAAAAAGAAAAAGAGATCACATCTACTTGACTCACATTCTTTATTCTGACAATCTCACGTGGTGTCATGTTGACGTAACACAATTATAGAGAGATATTCGCCGACTCAATCGATCACCAAAAAATAAAAATAATAGCCAATAGGCAAATTTTTCATCTCTCAAAAAAGATTTACTTTTTTTCTTTTTTTTTTGTACTTTAAGTATTCGATAAGTTTCTTAAGCAAAATGTCAGCAGTCAAGACGAAACTTAATGAAAAATGATCTTTTAATGAGGCAAACATATCATACGAAAAAAGAGAACAATTCTTATATTTAGATTTCAAATGACAACATAAGTTATCATCATTTTCTTAGTTATACTCAGTAACAACATTGCTCGTCTATCTTATTTTAAAATAAGAACAATTAAAAGAACATTGAGAAAAAAACTAATCATCATAAAAATATGTTAAAATAACGAAAGATAAAAGTCAAAGCTAATCTCTCAAGGGAAGCTATTAATCAAATTGATCTATGTAGTATACTGTTTAAAAACATCGTCATTTAACAAAAAAGACTTCGAAAAAAAAAAAATAATGAACATAGATATATCGATAAGTATTCAAAATGTTATAACGAGTTTAGTTCCTTTTCTACTAACATAATTTTTTTTTTTGTTTTAGCAACATTTTATGAAGAAAAATAAATAGAACATTGTGTATTAGAAAATGTTATTATTATAATAAAAATCAATGCATAATTCAATAGTTTATAAGATAATAACAACAAAGTATTATAATATTCATCAAATGACAAAAGAACTTTTTTCATATTGTTGTCTGAGTTTTTTCATCGGTTGACCGTAAACACAAAGATGAAAAAGTGCTGTAGAAAATTTTGACTGACAAGACATGCTTTATTGAATAGAATAATAACTAACATTTCAACAGAGATGAAACATAAGTCAAGAGATAAAAAAGAAAAAGTTTATAAAATCTCATTATCTTTCGTTTTGTCAACTGTAAATGATAAGATATCTTAGTATTTCATAGCATTTATAACACCATCATAATATCATTCGTCAAGACTGTTGATACAAAGTTAAATTTCCATGAAATAGTTGACAATTGTGGATCATTTAAATCTAGTAATGATGAAGAAACTACAATTTATTACAATAGAATTTTAGTTATATAATAGTTTGTTGTCCGACTGTTTTAGTCAGGTATTACTGTTGGTTACAAATCCAAATCAGTTGAATTATAGAGAAAACAATAATGAATTGAAGATGCGTAAAGTCATCATTACTTTTGTCCAGAATATCATTTCATCGTAGTCGTGTTGAATGCATAATTTTTTTGTTTAATTCCTCAATCACTAAATATAAGTTTGGATTGAAGAGATGAGAATAATTGTATTAAGGCTTCTTCCTCAACAATTGCTTTTGGATCCGAAATATTCAAATTCCATGAAATTTTCAGATTAATATCATAACGTTTTCGAAAGATATTCAACAAACAAGAATTCACAATAACTCATTTGACAAGTCGAAATTCACTGTAAACCTTCATTCTATATACATAATTTTTTCTTTGTTTGAAAGAACATATCAGTATAGGATATGACAGAGCTTTATTTTTTACATTTTCAATTACTTTTAACGAGAACCTCCTCATTTTTGTGACCATTATATAGTCTGAAGTAGTATCTATCTCCTGAATGATTTTTTAGGGCATCTTTGATGTTTTTAGCATTTTAATCTGAAGGGACAAATAATAAAAAGATGCCTTCAGCTGAGGCATTCTTTAGAAACGTTTGAAAGAAAAGAGAGGATACCCTAAAGGGAAGAAAAAGGATGACAAGTTCAATGTGTTGAAAAATGCTCAAAATAATTAGTGCTCTATTTATAAACGTACCTTTTTATTTAATAGTAAGAAAGTTTAATTTGAAAAAAAGGATTTTGTCATGCCCTGTATCTTGACATGCTCTTTTCAAACAAAAAACGTACTTGAACATGTAGAATGAAGGTTCACAGAAAATTCTATAGGTTGTAAAATCAAGAAAACATCAACAGAAATATTTTGATAAAAGACGAAAATTGACTTTTTTTCACGGAAGGAACTTATTAAATCAGTAATACTAACTTTCCACTTTGACTGTGAGAGTAGAGTAGTCCAATACCTTTACATCCATTAAGCGAAAATTGTTCAGGATAGATAAGATTTTTTAAAAATATATAAACAATTTATAAACAATGAAAACGAACGTATCGATAAACTAAATCTATGAATTAATTTGTTGCTCATTCAATGATGTCCTCATGAAAAGAAAAAAAACTTCAAAATAGAACACAAAACTATTCCATAGTTTGAGATCACAGACAATATATACATATGTGTGTGTGTGTGTTCATCTTGATTGAAACAAAATTACAATCACTCTATATAACTTCTCCACATTGCTTTTATTATGTGTTATTTTCAACACCTTTGCCGGGTGTTTATAAAATAGTCATTTATGATCGAATTTAAATGAATTGTTATTAATTCAAAATCAAACTTTTATCATTGTTGTTCATAATCATCATGTAATCCTAACGAAAAAGAAATATGAATATTTATTTAAATAATTCAAGTGGTTTGTATGGACTATTCATAAGGATATCATTAAACTGAAACAAGTTGAAAGAGTTCGTATCTCAAAAATAGAAAGTCTACAAACTCTGAAACTCTTCATAGAAATGAAACCTTCAAATGGAAGTAATTTCAAAATAAAATAAAAAATTTTAGAAAAAATCTGAGGTCTCTAACCAATAGGTTTATTAAAAACTCCACAATTCTATCAGGCCTTGATTATGAACTCAAATTCTTGTGGAATTTCCACATAAATACTATATAGTATCTCTAGGTAACAAAAGAAATCATTGAAACCAGAAGAAGATCTCTGATAAGAAGCTTACTCGTAAGTTTTACAAATGTGAAATTTATCAAATCGAATTCTTATCTTTTGAAATTCCCATTTTTTTGTAAAGACTGGTATATTTCACTGTTGATATACGATGAGGATTCATTTATTTTCAACAGTATCTACTATTACTGTAGACTTCTCTAATTTAATCCACTCTATTACAGACATTAGCAATCCGAGTTGAAAATCATTGAGTAAGTTTTGATAGAAACTGTAGATGTAAATCAATTATTTTAATACTACTGAGTTACTTCTAATTACGTATGTAAAAATAAGAAGTTTATATAGTGAATAACATTACTTAAAATTTTAAGATCAAAGACAGAAGTAAACAACGGAAAGACTGTATAATTAAGACAATAATATGTTCCATAGTAATAGGGAGGTAACGTTTAGAGTACAGAAGTATATGTTAGTTTCACATTTAAGCCTCAGAGAACTTGTACTAAGAAGTTTTTTTTTTATATAAAATTTGATTGAGAGTTTTCGTTGGGAATGGGACATTTCGCGCCAATTTTTCATTACGATCTCCAGTAGCAGATGTTCGTTACGATCTCCCGACATAAGGAAAAAAAAGACAGGATGTTCGGAATTAGATGTACGGGAGTTCGGAATGACAAAATCAATCAAAAATAAAAAAAACAGGGTGTTCGTAATGAAAGTTGTCCAAGACAAAAATCATTTCCGAACACCCGGACACATGTCCGGAGTGTGGAATTACTTGGTGCGAAATGTCCGCGTCCCGTTTTCGTTTGCCAAACATAATATAGTCAATTCTAATGTTAATCAATAGATTTCTTCTATTAGGTTACAGTGACATCATTTAGAACTACTGTGTTTTCCATTAGTCAATTGTCCTATCATAATGTCATTGATCAAAAAGAATTTCTCGAATAAATTATAACTTGTCAAATATGTAACATTGAATGGTATTTTTAATTAATATAATCAAAGATTTCTATTTACAATTTATTTCTCAATTCTATTATTATGAAGATTATAGATGAAAATTATCTTCTACGTTTGAGGACATTCTTAGATGAAAGCCACGCATTTCTGTCACATCTCATTTATATAATTAGACTTCATTGAACTAAATTTGTTATTTGTTTTTTACTTCGTAATTTATATCAGTTATTATTTTTCTTAAGAGTATAATATTCAAATCCTCTTCATTATTAGAGATAACTTGCAACAGCTTGGAAAGTTTTTCTTACTATGATAAAATTGTTACGTATATGAATGCATNTCAATTTATTGATGGACGACTACACATTCACACCCATTCATACTCACGTCCGCATTCACAAGATGATCGGAGATAGTGCGTATATGAAGTTGTAGCCCATCAAAAACTCTACAAAGCAGCATGCGAGAAACAATATTTTACATATGCTTTCAATTAATATCAAGAACCATAATAAACATTAACTTATGGTCCTCAGATACGGATGTAAATAATGATGGGTGTGAATGTGTAGTCATCTATCAGTAAATTGACTCTAGGTCCTTCAAAGTTCTATGAAAATAGGATTTACTATATACCATTCGATGCGGCTCGAAAAGGTCTACAATATGATATATTTGTTTCTTATTTCTGAACCGATGTACCCCATCCGACAACGCCCTTTAAATGGCGGGACACGAAGTTTTGGTACGGCCTAAGTATTTAGAAGAAAAATCATCTCATGGAAAGACTTCGTGGAAAAAGTGAGAAGTTTTGTTTTTTTCTTCAAGCTAATCTAATCATTACATTTATATGGCTAAAATTTCAGGTTAAAATTCACTTAAATTTCAAATGCCTTAGCAGTAAAGACTCAGCAGCTCGAATACCTCAAGGATTGTTTACTGATTTACTAGACTCTATTGATAGAACATAGTTCCAATTTAAAAGTGACTCATTAGTAAAACATTAAATCATAAAATTCATTTTGTTAAATGTTTACTCAAAGGCATAAGAATCTTAGAATAGAAGTTATTAGAAAACTCTTCGGCGACTGTGATAACAACTTTTGTATAGAAGTATATTTCTTTGACCTTTCTCAACGACAACTTTTGTGTGATATTAAAATCATTGATCTAGTGTACAAAGTATTACCCATGTTGCGCATTTGTTCACACCATCGTTATAACGCGTACATCAAGTTTTGTTTGAATCTATCACAGAGAAGCTGTATCCTAAATAGTTATATTAAGTAAAGTACTTCATAAGCATAATTTTTCATATAAAATATAATCAATCTTCTAACAACTTCTCTTTCGAAGTAGAATTTCATTTTTTGACTATGATCAAAAATTGACGAAAAATCAATTGGACCAGAACATACTACAATAGTGTTCATATTGGTCGTTGTAAAACACAGAATATTTCGTTTTTTGGTACACTAGTAGTCTCGTATTCTTACAGTATAAAACTCGTAAAAGAAGAATAAAAAGAAAAATTTTCTTTCTAAACTAAAAAACTTGCAAAATCATTTTCAATCATATTTTTTTTTATATATTCTGCACTTTCTAATTAAAAAAAAAAAGTCCAACTCTTAAGATAATGCATTCCCACGCTATATCAAAAATAAAATGAATGCAGACCTTTTGCCGCAACTGTTATATTTCAAGAATCAACGATAGATTCGCAATTCATTGTGTATTTCGAACCCGTCGGGTTCAAAAACTTCTAACCTGGATCGATATCTTACTCTTAATGAAATTTTATGAAGCGTGATCTAATAGGAGGATTGAAGTATATAAGGGAGAAATTTGTGCCTATCTTCAACCTCACCAGACTGTGACGGATGTTGTTAATATTCTATACATATTTCTTCTGCAATATTGATCGTGATCTCATATGAATAGCGCTCGTTGGGATAGTTCGAATCCTACCCGATCGACACTAATTTTAAAAGTAAAATCTTCTGATTTGATATGCGCAAACTCATTTTATGTTATTTTTGTTCAACATTCAAAGAATATTGAAACTCTTCTTGTTTGATTTATTCTTTCCATTTCATTTCTTCATCATAGTTCAGTTTTGATAGATTTCTTTCTAAGAACATACATATACAACAAATATCAGTATGAAAATATTCTTTTGCTTTTTTTTTTTAGTACATTACCAATCCCACGTAAACAATCCATATCAGCTGGTCTTTATCTTGCATATTTAGAGGCCATAAGTTATAATCTACCTCCATTATTATTTGTACGTGGTAATCAAAAAAATGTTCTTACATATTACTCGTAATTTATTTTTAACATTAAAACATTTTTTAGTCTTTCCGGTGATTTATATATATATATATATTGTCCTCCTTTTTTGTTCTTATGCATATAAAAAAAAGACGAATGATAATAAAACAAAAGCCAAAAGAAGAAGTAATCATCATATTACTTTATATGCTAATTTTTCTCATAATTTTTTTTTTTATACAAATGTGTCACAATACAGTATAAAAGAACGAAAAAAAAAAAGAAGGAATGAAGAAGAGATTATTGTTGTTGTAAACTGGAAAGATGATTAAGAATTTTAGCATTTCCTGTTGCATCAAGCCATGCTTCAAAATTTGATACAACAAAACGTTGAAAACGTTGACGTTGTTCAGGATTTAATTGTGCAGCTGTTATTTCATTAGCTAATAATGATATTGATTTTTGTCTTTTATCTATAGCCGATTGATATTCTGATGGAAGAGGAATTAAGCCATCCTAAAGAAAAATACAAAAAAAAAATTGTTTTCATTTCGTAGATAATAAAAGACTATTATTTAATTTTTCGATGACTGTTTTTTACTACAGAAAGAAGTATATGTTGACTTCTAGATGAAGATTTACTCTACTCAAAACAATGATTTCAGCGTCTAGATTTTTTAAAGGAACCCCCAGGAAAGACGTCATTTCCGGCTCTGAATAATCTCGATCTTCGGATTTACGCTTCCAAGTTTCTAACTTTTTCCATCAGTTCCTTATTCACTTGAGTATCTAATAGTGTATATATCATTAGATAGAAGAAGTTTTTCTCTAGAGACATTCTGTTCTGTAAAGAAAATCTTATAGTCGAATTTTCTATGTACCGTTTGTTGATCTTCTAATCGAATTGAACTAATTGGATAGAAATCATCTGGTGGAAGAAGTGACCATGGTTGTTCATCAACATAACCAGCTGGATGTGTAACTAATGGTTTATTCCATAGATTAAGTTCTTTACAAAGACCAGTACGTTCCATTTGTTCAGGTAATTCAACATGTGATGCATTATATGGTGCAAAAAGTAAACTAGCACAATTTAATTGTATTAATGGTCGTGTTGGCGTATGAATATAAAATGATGATGAACGACATTGACTAAAATAAAGAAATATTTAATTAGAAAATAAATATTAAAAAAAAACAAGATTCTCTAGAAAATTAACCTAATGAGTAATCGACGACATACAGCAGATATTGAGACATTTTCACAATCTGTTACTTTTAATGTTGTTTCAACAGCTCCAAGAACAATTGTTACATTATGACATTTACGAACTTCAACGCATCTTTATTAAGATACAAAAAACCAACATAAAGAAGAATAAGAATAAGATATAAAAAGTAAATATTTAAAATGAATCGTATTACCGTAATGGAGCAAGGATGTAAATATATGAATAACTGCAACGATGAATACGAAATTCTGCATTAGTAATATCAGATGATTGCTAAAAAAGTAAAAAGGAATATGATAATCAAATAGATTCTATAATGAATGAAATTTTCCGAAACCTTATGAATTGTATAACCTAAATAATTAGGTCGATTTTCTCTCCTGATACAAACGCCTTCAAAACAAACTTTAGTATTTCTATAAGCATAAAAGACAATGTTGTTTCAAACTATCATTTGTATTTTTTCTATTTCTCTAATAGCAGTACTTTTTTTTTTTGCTACTTCTTATCGAGTACAATCATATACGCAATAGATGAATCTGTTAATGTAAATATATCAGTTGAAGGTCCGATTTTGCGAGAGATTGTTTAAAATTTTCTATTCAAAAGAGAGGCTTAGAACAAATCTTAACAATCTGAGCAAAAACAAAAAGTCAAGTTCTTTTTTGAAAGACATTTTTTTTAACTACTAAACAAACCGATCGTGCCGAACTATTGTCTGTCCAATAATAAGATGGCCGTGTGTATTTTTGTAATACCTTTCGACAGAGGACAGAGAGGGACATCGAGACATACGATTTTCATTAGTCAATATATCGACCAATCAGATGAATTTCTTGGTAGACATTATCAGGACAAGATTTTAAAGGTCAATTTCTGATGTGATTTTGACTTGTAATACCACCATTCGATAGAAAAAATTGTTCTCTGTCGATCTACGCAAGGCCGACCTTGCTATCTTCTTCTGCTCAGGAGATATAAGGGTTTTCCCGAAACCCCCCGTTTTTGGCCACCTGTC